CATATCAACTGCAAAACGATTACAAGGGTAAATGAATAAACACAGAGGCTACATCAAGCATTTGGCATTCATAAAAGTGAGATACAGAAGATGACTATTTTGAATTCGAACTGGTTAACTGAAGGTTACGAGAGAAAGGTCTCAGATATAAAAGGAGTTTAGATACTCACCCTTGCATACTCCCATTCACCATGAAGTTCATCGTATGTGCTATCTCGTCTAGTTAAAGTGAACACATGAGTTATATATGTGTATGTATGTTAATGTTTGTATATATGTATATATATACATATTTATGAACAGAAGCATATATAACTGTGTTCTATTATACATATTTGTATGTAGATATGTGTGTGAAAAGTTTAATCTATAAGAAAAGATGTACATTTGCCGCCTATTCAAGCATGAGGTTTTCCCTAGCCATACATATAAAATGTAATGTAGGCAATAGAAACGTTCTTTCTTACAGGGTCTACTGTTATCACTAGTAGTTGCTGTTTCTGCAGCACCTCAAGGGTACAACGGCGGTACTCCCTCTGGTGGTCTTACATCCGGTCCCGGATCTACTGGTGGTGGTGCAGGAGCGGCCGGCGTAGATGTCAGTGGAGGTGTTGTGACTGGATGCCAAGAGGGAGAAGTTCTTCACGTAGATGGGACATGTGTAACTCCTGAAGTCACAAGAAAGGTCTATCTTTTTAATGTTCCTGAACAAGAGAGAGCCGTTGGTCCAGCACCTAGTATTCCTCCCCCAGCAGTGGACCACAACATCTTGTTCGTGCGCCTTCCTGAAGAAGCACCTGCACCTGACCCCATCGTACTTCCTCCACCAAGGCAGAACAACATCGTCTATGTGCTCAACAAGCAAGAAGAACAAGCTCAGCGAGTGATCGAAGTACCAGCTCAGCCACAAGCTGATCCCGAGATTTATTTCGTCAACTATCAAGATGGAGAGAACCCGACCCTTCCCTTAGGAGTAGACCTTGAAACTGCTCTCAGCGCCGCTGCTGCAACCGGTGGCCAGGTTCTAGGAGGCGTTGATGGAGCTGTTGGAGAAGCTGGAGTTGGTGGAACAGCCGGCTTTGGTGGTGTAGGTGGATTAGGTGGAGCAGGTGGAATTGCTGGAGGACATGGGGTTAATGGTCTCGTGGGTATTAATGGACTTGGTGGTGTTAATGGAGCCAGTGATGGAGGAGTTAATGGCGGAGCGGGAGGATTCCAGACTGGCTCCGGGGGTAGACCAGGAGGCCTTTACACAACTCCGTAGAGGAAATGTTTCCCTTTTTCTATTACCTTAAGAATTGCTGTT